TGATTGCCAACAAGGGTTTTGCCACCAAGTACTAAGTCATGTTTTGCAGAGGGGTCAAATACTTATTTCCCTCATTAAAATGCAAATCAATTTATAACATTTTTGACATGCGTTTTTCTGGATTTTGTTGTTGTTATTCTGTCTCTCACTGTTCAAATAAACTTACCATTAAAATTATAAACTGATCATTTATTTGTCAGTGGGCAAATGTACAAAATCAGCAGGGGATCAAATACGTTTTTGCCTCACTGTACACACCCACCCTCCCTCTCACCCACCCCACCCTCTCACCCACCCACCCTCTCACCTACCCTCTCACCCACCCCACCCTCTCATCCACCCACCCTCTCACCCACCCACCCTCTCATCCACCCACCCTCTCACCCACCCTCTCACCCACCCACCTTCTCACCCACACACCCACCCACCCTCTCACCCACCCACACACCGACCTTCCCACCCTCTCACCCACCCACTCTCTCACACACACACACTCTCTCACACACACCCACCCTCTCACTAATCCACACACCCACCCATCCACACCCACCCACCCTCACACCCACACACACCCTCTCACCACCCACGCACCCTCTCACCCACCTTCTCAACACACACACACACCCACCCACTTTCTCACACACACACCCACACACCCACCCACCCTCTCACCAATCCACCCACCCACACCCACCCTCTCACACACATCCACCCACACACACACACCCACCCACCCTCTCACCACTACACACACCCTCTCACCCACACACCCTCTCACCCACCCACACACCACCCACACACCCTCTCACCCACCCACACACCACCCACCCACCCTCTCACCCACACACACACCCACCCACCCTCACCCAACCACACACACACCCACCCACACACCCTCTCACCACCCACACACCCACTGACCCACCTTCTCACACACACACACACCTACCCACTCTCGCCCACTCACACACCTACCCACACACACCCACCCACCCTCTCACCACTCCACACACCACCCACCCACCCTCACCCACCCACACGCCCACCCAGACACCTTCTATGGTCCAAGGCACTGCTAATAAATAACCAAATTGCCTCAACAACGCTGCCCCCTGTGCCTGATGCCTTACATGGGAACGAACGATAGATGGACGACGTTTCAGGCTATGCACCATCGTCAGGGCACGTGATGAGTCTCACATGAGTATCTGTGGGTGGTGAGTCTGTGTGGTGAGTCTGTGGGTCTCTGTGTGGCGAGTCTATGGGTTTGTGTGGTGAGTCTGTGGGTCTGTGTGTGGTGAGTCTATGGGTCTCTGTGTGGTGAGTCTGTGGGTATCTGTGTGGTGAGTCTATGGGTCTCTGTGTGGTGAGTCTGTGGGTCTGTGTGGTGAATCTGTGGGTCTCTGTGTGGTGAGTCCATGGGTCTCTGTGTAGTGAGTCTGTGGGTCTCTGTGTGGTGAGTCTGTGGGTCTCTGTGTGGTGAGTCTATGAGTCTCTGTGTGGTGAGTTTGTGGGTCTGTGTGGTGAATCTGTGGGTCTCTGTGTGGTGAGTCCATGGGTCTCTGTGTGGTGAGTCTGTGGGTCTCTGTGTGATGAGTCTATGGGTCTCTGTGTGGTGAGTCGATGGGTCTCTGTGTAGTGAGTCTATGGGTCTCTGTGTGGTGAGTCTGTGGGTCTTTATGTGTGAGTCTATGGGTCTCTATGAGTGAGTCTGTGGGTCTCTGTGTGGTGAGTCTGTGGGTCTCTGTGTGGTGAGTCTATGGGTCTCTGTGTGATGAGTCTATGGGTCTCTGTGTGGTGAGTCTGTGGGTCTCTGTGTGAGTGAGTCTGTGGGTCTCTGTGTGGTGAGTCTGTGGGTCTCTGTGTGGTGAGTCTATGGGTCTCTGTGTATTGAGTCTGTGGGTCTCTGTGTGGTGAGTCTGTGGGGCTCTGTGTGGTGAGTCTGTGGGTCTCTGTGTGGTGAGTCTATGGGTCTCTGTGTGGTGAGTCTGTGGGTCTCTGTGTGGTGAGTCTGTGGGTCTCTGTGTGATGAGTCTATGGGTCTCTGTGTGGTGAGTCTGTGGGTCTCTGTGTGGTGAGTCTATGGGTCTCTGTGTGGTGAGTCTATGGGTCTCTGTGTGGTGAGTCTGTGGGTCTCTGTGTGGTGAGTCTATGGGTCTCTGTGTGAGTGAGTCTGTGGGTCTCTGTGTGGTGAGTCTGTGGGTCTCTGTGTGATGAGTCTGTGGGTCTCTGTGTGGTGAGTCTGTGGGTCTCTGTGTGGTGAGTCTGTGGGTCTCTGTGTGGTGAGTCTGTGGGTCTCTGTGTGGTGAGTCTGTGGTGAGGGTGGTCAGAGTGGTGATGGTGAGGTGACAGTCGTGAGGGTGACTGTGCTGAAGGTGGTGAGAGTGGTGAGGGTGGTGACAGTGGTGAGGTGAGGGTGGTGAAGGTGGTGAGGGTGGTGAAGGTGGTGAGGGTGGTGAGGTGAGGGTGGTGACAGTGGTGAGGTGACAGTGGTGACAGTGGTGAGGTGAGGGTGGTGAAAGTGGTGAGGATGGTGAGGTGAGGATGGTGAGGTGAGGATGGTGAGGTGAAGGTGGTGAGGGTGGTGACAGTGGTGAGGGTGGTGAAGTTGGTGAGGGAGGTGACAGTGGTGAAGGTGGTGAGGGTGGTGACAGTGGTGAGGTGACAGTGGTGAGGGTGGTGACAGTGGTAAGGTGAGGGTGGTGACAGTGGTGAGGGTGGTGAAGGAGGTGAGGGTGGTGTGGGTGGTGTGGTGAAGGTGGTGACGGTGAAGGTGGTGAAGGTGGTGAGGGTTGTGAGGGTGGTGAAGGTGGTGAGTGTGGTGAGTGTGGTGAAGGTGGTGAGGGTGGTGAAGGTGGTGAGGTGAGGGTGGTGACAGTGGTGAGGTGACAGTGGTGAGGTGAGGGTGGTGACAGTGGTGAGGTGAGGGTGGTGAGGTGAGGGTGGTGACAGTGGTGAGGGTGGTGAAGGTGGTGAGGTGAGGGTGGTGAAGGTGGTGAGGTGAGGGTGGTGACAGTGGTGAGGTGAGGGTGGTGAGTGTGGCGAAGGTGGTGAGGGTGGTGAGGGTGGTGAGGGTGATGACAGTGGTGAGGTGACAGTGGTGAGTGTGGCGAAGGTGGTGAGGGTGGTGAGTGTGGTGAGGGTGGTGAGGGTGGTGAAGGTGGTGAGGGTGGTGAAGGTGGTGAGTGTGGTGAGGGTGGTGAGGTGACAGTGGTGAGGATGGTGAGGTGAAGGTGGTGAGGTGACAGTGGTGAGGTGACAGTGGTGAGGATGGTGTGGTGAAGGTGGTGACGGTGGTGAGGTGACAGTGGTGAGGTGACAGTGGTGAGGATGGTGTGGTGAAGGTGGTGACGGTGGTGAAGGTGGTGAGTGTGGTGAGTGTGGTGAGGGTGGTGAGGTGACAGTGGTGAGTGTGGTGAGGGTGGTGAGGTGACAGTGGTGAGTGTGGTGAGGGTGGTGAGGTGACAGTGGTGAGGATGGTGAGGTAAAGGTGGTGACAGTGGTTGAGGTGACAGTGGTGAGGATGGTGAGGTGAAGGTGGTGAGTGTGGTGAGTGTGGTGAGGGTGGTGAGGTGACAGTGGTGAGTGTGGTGAGGGTGGTGAGGTGACAGTGGTGAGGATGGTGAGGTGAAGGTGGTGAGGGTGGTGAGTGAAGTGAAGGAGGTGACAGTGGTGAGTGTGGTGAAGGTGGTGAGGTGACAGTGGTGAAGGTGGTGAGGGTGGTGAGGTGAGGATGGTGACAGCGGTGAGGGAGGTGAGGTGAAGGTGGTGAGGTGACAGTGGTGAGGATGGTGAGTGTGGTGAGGTGAGGATGGTGAGTGTGGTGAGGTGAGTGTGGTGAGGTGAGTGTGGTGTGGTGAGGATGGTGAGTGTGGTGAGTGTGGTGTGGTGAGTGAGGTGAAGGATGGTGAGGATGGCGAATGTGGTGAGTGTGGTGAGGTGAGTGTGGTGAGTGAGGTGAAGGATGGTGAGGATGGTGAGGATGGTGAGTGTGGTGAGGTGAGGATGGTGAGTGTGGTGAGGGTGGTGAGGTGAGTGTGGTGAGTGTGGTGAGGTGAAGGATGGTGAGGATGGTGAGTGTGGTGAGGTGAGGATGGTGAGTGTGGTGAGGGTGGTGAGGTGAGTGTGGTGAGTGTGGTGAGGTGAAGGATGGTGAGGATGGTGAGTGTGGTGAGTGTGGTGAGGTGAGTGTGGTGAGGTGAGTGTGGTGAGGTGAGTGTGGTGAGTGTGGTGAGGTGAGGATGGTGAGTGTGGTGTGTCTGGTGAGGTGAGTGTGGTGAGGTGAGTGTGGTGAGGTGAGTGTGGTGAGGTGAGTGTGGTGAGTGTGGTGTGGTGAGTCTGGTGAGGTGAGTCTGGTGAGGTGAGTGTGGTGAGTGTGGTGAGGTGAGGATGGTGAGTGTGGTGAGTGAGGTGAGTGTGGTGAGGTGAGTGTGGTGAGTGTGGTGTGGTGAGTCTGGTGAGGTGAGTGTGGTGAGGTGAGTCTGGTGAGGTGAGTGTGGTGAGGTGAGGATGGTGAGTGTGGTGAGTGTGGTGAGGTGAGTGTGGTGAGGTGAGGATGGTGAGTGTGGTGAGTGTGGTGAGGTGAGTGTGGTGAGGTGAGGATGGTGAGTGTGGTGAGTGTGGTGAGTGTGGTGTGGTGAGTGTGGTGAGGTGAGTGTGGTGAGGTGAGTGTGGTGAGTGTGGTGAGGTGAGGATGGTGAGTGTGGTGTGTCTGGTGAGGTGAGTGTGGTGAGGTGAGTGTGGTGAGGTGAGTCTGGTGAGGTGAGTCTGGTGAGGTGAGTGTGGTGAGGTGAGGATGGTGAGTGTGGTGAGTGTGGTGAGGTGAGTGTGGTGAGGTGAGGATGGTGAGTGTGGTGAGTGTGGTGAGTGTGGTGTGGTGAGTGTGGTGAGGTGAGGATGGTGAGTGTGGTGAGTGTGGTGAGGTGAGTGTGGTGAGGTGAGGATGGTGAGTGTGGTGAGTGTGGTGAGGTGAGTGTGGTGAGTGTGGTGAGCCCTCTGACCTTGTTCTTCACTTCAGCGGAGAGCCCGTAAGCGGGTCCTTTGACGAAGTGAGTCGACATTTCGTCCTAAGCTTCGCGTCAAAACAATTGAGAATTATAAGAAGACTGGAATAAGTTAATTTATTTTTTAACGACAAATACAAAACAAATTTTGCGGTAACAAAAGACTAAAAACTTGCATTAGGCGGAGGGGGGTGGTTTCTGCTGTTGTTGTGAAAGAGAGAGAGAAGCTGAGGTAAAGTTTATTGTTGTTTTAAATATGATCGCGGGTTTTATTTAGGATTTAAAAAAAACTAAACTTGTTTTAAATTTAAAAAAATCTACTTTTATTTTTGAAAAAAAAAACAGAAAACGCCGCGATCGCGAAGCGATCTTTAACTTTCACCTCAACTTCGTAATAAAATATATATTTATTTTTAAACTTTATAATAAATCACCACTCAGGCCCCCAACCACCTCCCCTCAGGCATTAATTAACGGTTAAAAAAGGGCGCGAAAATTGGCCCCCTGGGGGGGGGGGGGGTTGGGGGGGGTCACCACTGAGAGAAGCGCGCGCGACCCGGCAAACCACCACTGTCCGTTATGTGGCTGCCCCCCCCCCATCTCCTACCTACTCGCCCCGCCCCCTCCTCTAAACCCCGCCCCTTTCTCATCGTTGCCCCGCCCCCCCCTTCGTTCAACCCCCGCCCCCTCCACCTCATCGCCACGACCCCTCTGCTCAACCCCGCCCCCCCCTTCTCATCGTTGCCCCGCCCCCTCCCCTTCGTTCAACCCCGCCCCCTCCTCATCGCCACGACTTCTCAACCCCGCCCCCTTCTCATCGTTGCCCCGCCCCCCCTTCTCATCGTTGCCCCGCCCCCCCCCCCCTTCGTTCAACCCCGCCCCCTCCTCTTCATCGTCACGACCCCTCTGCTCAACCCCGCCCCCTTCTCATCGTTGCCCCTCCTCCTAACCGCCCCTCCCCTCCTCATCATCGTCCCCCTCTTCACTCAACCCCGCCCCCTCCTCACCCCCCTCCCCCTCCTACTCAAAGCCCCTCCCCCCCCTCCTCCTCACAGCCCCCTCCTCCTCGCCCCTCCTCTCACCGCCCCCCCTCCTCTCACCGCCCCGCCCCCTTCTCTTCGCCCCTCCTCTCCCCGCCCCCTCCTCCTCGCCCCGCCCCCTCCTCCTCGCCCCGCCCCTCCTCCTCGCCCCGCCCCCCCCCCTCCTCACCGCCCCTCCCCCTCGCTCCTGTGAAGCTTCTCGAAGCACTCCGCTACACTCGGAGACAGCGAGGAGACGGCTCCACTTTATACTTTGGGAGTGGGGGGGGGGAGGAGTGTGTGGGTGGAGGGGGTGGGGGGGAGGAGTGTGTGGATGGAGGGGGTGGGGGGGAGGAGTGTGTGGGTGGAGGGGGTGGGGGGGAGGAGTGTGTGGATGGAGGGGGTGGGGGGAGGAGAGGGGGACGTAATGTATTCATGTGTAGGGGCCTCCCACACGCATAGTGGGGGGGGGGGGGGGGGGGAGACGTAATGTATTCATGTGTAGGGGCCTCGCATAGGGGGGGAGGGGTGCGTAATGTGTTCATGTGTAGGGGCCTCCCATAATGGGGGGGGGCGGGTTGCGTAATGTATTCATGTGTAGGGGCCTCCCATAGTGGGGGGGGTGTGCGCGTAATGCATTCATGTGTAGGGGCCTCCTACACCCATGGTGGGGGGTGTAATCCATTCATGTGTAGGGGCCTCCCACACCCATGGGGGGGGGGGGTGTAATCCATTCATGTGTAGGGGCCTCCCACACCCCTCCAAACCCCCCTCCCCCAACCGTGCGCGTGCCCCTTTAACTCAGAGGCGCGTTTCCCATTGGCCGATGGCACCCCATCCCCACCCCCACCCTCCCCCACTTACTTTAGCCAATGGGGAGAGGCGTGAGGTTGGAGGGGCTGTCCCTTTAACTCAGAGGCGCGTTTCCCATTGGCCGATGGCACTCCCCTCCCCACCCCTACCCTCCCCAACTTACTTTAGCCAATGGGGAGAGGCGTGAAGTTGGAGGGGCGTTTCCCATTGGCTGATGGCACCCCCTCCCCACCCCCACCCTCCCCCACTTACTTTAGCCAATGGGGAGAGGCATGAGGTTGGAGGGGCTGTCCCTTTAACTCAGAGGCGCGTTTGCCATTGGCCGATGGCACTCCCCTCCCCACCCCCACTTACTTTAGCCAATGGGGAGAGGCGTGAGGTTGGAGCGGCGTTTCCCATTGGCTGATGGCACCCGCTCCCCACCCTCCCCCACTTACTTTAGCCAATGGGGAGAGGCGTGAGGTTGGAGGGGCTGTCCCTTTAACTCAGAGGCGCGTTTCCCATTGGCTGATGGCACCCCCTCCCCACCCCCACCCTCCCCCACTTACTTTAGCCAATGGGGAGAGGCGTGAGGTTGGAGGGGCGTTTCCCATTGGCCGATGGCACTCCCCTCCCCACCCCTACCCTCCCCCACTTACTTTAGCCAATGGGGAGAGGCGTGAGGTTGGAGGGGCTGTCCCTTTAACTCAGAAGCGCGTTTCCCATTGGCCGATGGCACTCCCCTCCCCACCCCCACCCTCCCCCACTTACTTTAGCCAATGGGGAGAGGCGTGAGGTTGGAGGGGCGTTTCCCATTGGCCGATGGCACTCCCCTCCCCACCCCCACCCTCCCCCACTTACTTTAGCCAATGGGGAGAGGCGTGAGGTTGGAGGGGCTGTCCCTTTAACTCAGAGGCGCGTTTCCCATTGGCTGATGGCACTCTCCTCCCCACCCCCACCCTCCTCTTCCTCTTCCGGAAGACGCCACCAATAAAACACACGTGCGCACCACGCGAGATTTTACAGTGGTGATGTTGTCGGTGGTGATGGTGGTGATGGTGTTATACGGGTGATAGTGTTATACTGGTAGGAAAGAAGTTGTAAACTGAGTGTACCAGCCTGCAATAGATTAATGCGTCCGTCCGTCCCCTTTCATTAAGTGAAATCTCGTGCTGTTGGGTGTAAAAAAAATTCCAATGTTCCTACCAGCCCACCCTGCAAGGACCTGTTAGGGTTGATGGTGTTATAGTTGATGGTGTTATAGTTGATGGTGTTATAGAGTGTTGGTGTTATAGGGTGATGGTGTTATAGGGTGATGGTGTTGGTGTTATAGTGTGATGGTGTTATAGGGTGGTGGTGTTATAGGGTGATCGTGTTGATGTTATAGGTGATGGTGTTCGTGTTATAGGGTGTTGGTGTTATAGGTGATGGTGTTGGTGTTATAGGTGATGGTGTTATAGGGTGATGTGTTATAGGTGATGGTGTTCGTGTTATAGGGTGATGGTGTTATAGGTGATGGTGTTCGTGTTATAGGGTGATGGTGTTATAGGGTGATGGTGTTGGTGTTATAGGGTGATGGTGTTATAGGGTGATGATGTTGGTGTTATAGGTGATGGTGTTGGTGTTATAGGGTGATGGTATAATAGGGTGTTGGTGTTATAAGGTGATGGTGTTGGTGTTATAGGTGATGGTGTTGGTTTTATAGGGTGATGGTGTTGATGTTATAGGTGATGGTGTTGGTGTTATAGGGTGATGGTGTTATAGGGTGATGGTGTTGATGTTATAGGTGATGGTGTTGGTGTTATAGGGTGATGGTGTTGGTGTTATAGGTGATGGTGTTGATGTTATAGGTGATGGTGTTGATGTTATAGGTGATGGTGTTGGTGTTATAGGGTGATGGTGTTGATGTTATAGGGGATGGTGTTGATGTTATAGGTGATGGTGTTGGTGTTATAGGGTGATCGTGTTGATGTTATAGGTGATGGTGTTGGTGTTATAGGGTGATGGTGTTGATGTTATAGGGTGATGGTGTTGGTGTTATAGGTGATGGTGTTGGTGTTATAGGGTGATCGTGTTGATGTTATAGGTGATGGTGTTGGTATTATAGGGTGATGGTATTATAGGGTGATCGTGTTGATGTTATAGGTGATGGTGTTGGTGGTATAGGTGATGGTGTTGATGTTATAGGGGATGGTGTTGATGTTATAGGTGATGGTGTTGGTGTTATAGGGTGTTGGTGTTATAGGGTGATGGTGTTGGTGTTATAGGGTGATGGTGTTGATGTTATAGGTGATGGTGTTGCTACCTTCATAGACTGCTGTTGCTACTAACCACACATCAATCGCCTTGCTGTTGTAGACCCTACAGAGTGGCCTTTGTTGATGGTGGTGATGGTGGTGATGTAGAGCTGTGAAGGCGATTTAAGTCCGACGTTTCGTGCCTTGCCGCTATAGTGTCGTAGCAGCTATAGAGTGGTAGTAGCTACAGAGTGATAGTAGTAGTAGCTACATAGTAGTAGTAGCTACATAGTGGTAGTAGTAGTAGCTACATAGTGGTAGTAGTAGTAGCTACATAGTGGTAGTAGTAGTAGCTACATAGTGGTAGTAGTAGTAGCTGCATAGTGGTAGTAGCTGCATAGTGGTAGTAGTAGTAGCTGCATAGTGGTAGTAGCTGCATAGTGGTAGTAGTAGTAGCTGCATAGTGGTAGTAGCTGCATAGTGGTAGTAGTAGTAGTAGCTACAGTGTGGTAGTAGTAGTAGTAGCTACAGAGTGGTAGTAATAGTAGCTACAGTGTGGTAGTAATAGTAGCTACAGTGTGGTAGTAGTAGTAGCTACATAGTGGTAGTAGTAGCTACATAGTAGTAGTAGCTACATAGTGGTAGTAGCTACTGTGTGGTGGTGGTGGTGGTAGCTACATAGTGGTAGTAGTAGTAGCTACATAGTGGTAGTAGTAGCTACACATCGTGGTGGTAGTAGCTACTGTGTGGTGGTGGTAGCTACATAGTGGTAGTAGCTACTGTGTGGTGGTGGTAGCTACATAGTGGTAGTAGCTACTGTGTGGTGGTAGCTACATAGTGGTGGTGATCAACTCACGATGGCTTCACGGTAACGTTGGGAGCTGGGGTTCCGAACACTCACCCACTAATTCACCAACTCGCACTCTCACTCACCCGCTCATTCACCCACTTGCACTCTCACTCACCCACTAATTCACCCACTCACTCACCACTCACCCACTCACTCACCCACTCATTCACCACTCACCCACTCATTCACCACTCACCCGCTCATTCACCCACTCACTCACCACTCAACCGCTCACTCACCCGCTCACTCACCCGCTCGCTCACCCACCCGCTCACTCGCCTACCCGCTCACTCACCCACCCACCCAATCACTCACCCACTCAAACTGTCACTCACCTGCTCACTCACCCGCTCACTCACCCGCTCACCCACTAATTCACCCACTCACCCACTCATTCACCCACTCACTCATTCACCACTCACCTACTAATTCACCCACTCACCCACCCACTCATTCACCACTCACTCACCCACTCGCTCACTCACCCACCCGCTTACTCACCCACCCACCCAATCACTCATTCACCACTCTCTCACTCACCCACTCTCACTCACCCACTCTCACTCACCCACTCTCACCCGGTCTCTCACCCGCTCGCCCACCCGCTCGCCCACTCGCTTTCTCGCCCACCCACTCACCCATCTGCTCACTCACCCACCCGCTCACTCACCCACCCGCTCACTCACCCACCCGCTCACTCACCCACCGGCTCACCCACCTGCTCACTCACCCACCCGCTCACTCACCCACCCAATCACTCACCCACACATTCATCCACTCACCCACTCGCCCACCTCACCCACTCACTCGCCCACTCACACTCACCCACTCACTAATACACTCACCCACTCACTAACCCGCTCACACTCTCACCCAGTAACTCGCCCGCTCACTCGCCCGCTCGCTCGCCTGCTCACCCACTCGCTCAAAATCACACCACGTGTGATTTTGTGTGTGTGATGTGTGATTGTGTGTTGTGATTGTATCATGCAAGGCCGATGAGTCAGATGCCTTCTGTGACCTGTCACAGGTGCTGGCTAAAGTGGCCCCTCGGGATAGTCATCTTGTTGGGTGACTTCAATGCCCGAGTTGGTCATGATACTGGCACCTGGTCTGGAGTGATTGGAGGGCATGGGCCAGATCAGCTCAATAACAACGGCAGGAGGCTGCTAGATTGTTGTGCAGCCCATGGGCTTGTAATTACCAACACGCTGTTCCGGCATCGGCGCATCCACACAACATCATGGATGCATGCCGGGTCCAAGCAAGAACATCTCCTGGACTACATAGTGACTTATATAGTGACGGAACAGCGGATGCGGGCCCATGTCTTTGACACCAGGACCTACCGTGGAGCTGATCTGCCCACTGATCAACGTGCGAGGGGCAAAGTCTGAGACCAGGAAAGTCACCGGGCAGAGATGATCTCCCAAGCGAAATGCTGAGGGAGGGTGGCGTTTGTGCACAGACTGCCCTACATGACATAACAACAGTCTGACCGCTGTATGGGTTCCACAGGATAGGAAGGATGCCCTGGTGGTCACCCTCTTTAAGAAGGGGGACCGCACGGACTGTAACAACTACAGGGGCATCTCACTCCTCAGTGTGCCGGGAAAGATCCTGGCAAGGATTATTCAGCATCGCCTTGCCAGGCACGCTGAGGAGAGGCTTGCGGAGCCCCAATGCGGTTTCAGGAAAGGGCGGTCCTGCACAGATGCCATATTTTCTGGCCGTCTGCTACAGCAGAGGTGTAGGGAATTCCAACAAGACCTACATCTCTGCTTTATTGACCTGGTCAAGGCCTGTGATACCATCAGTAGGCCTGGGCTCTGGGTTGTTCTTCGTGCTTTCGGAGTCCCTGACCCTCTGCTCACAATCATTTAAGGGCATTCGTGATGGTGAGCGGGCCCTGGTGTCAAGATCGGCCTCTCTGGAGGAGGCTCGTGAAGGACGCTGCTGCTACTGGGGCTAGTGCCAGGCTAGGTGCACTCTTAGGCTACTGGGCAGTTGGAGGCAGTCGCCCTCCAGCAACAACGGAGGAGCGACGCTCACAACAACGAGCGGAGCGCTGGGTGGCTAAAGCACAGCCAGTTGGCACAGTAGGGGGTACAGGTGGTGAACCTAGCCTGGCACAGTAGGGGGGTACAGCTGGTGGTGCATCTGCCGGTCATCTCAGTCGACCCGTGGCATCTGTCTGGGTCTGCCCCGTGACCTGCCAGCGGGCGTTCGACACTTCACGTGGCCTCAACGTGCACCTAGCCTGGCACAAGCGTCGTGGTGACGTTACCGGCACTTGGTGGCGAATGGTGGTGGTATTGGTTTTGATGCGAGTGTGTCTAAACGGGGTGGGGGGGGATATTTTGTCATGGTGATGGTGGTGGTGATGGTGGTGATGATGGTGGTGATGATGGTGGTGATGATGGTGGTGATGGCGGTGATGGCGATGATGGTGGTGATGGTGGTGGTGATGGTGATGGCGGTGATGATGGCGGTGATGATGGCGGTGATGATGGTGGTGATGATGGCGGTGATGGCGGTGATGATGGTGGTGATGGTGGTGATGATGGCGGTGATGATGGCGGTGATGATGGTGGTGATGATGGTGGTGATGGTGGTGATGATGGTGGTGATGGCGGTGATGATGGTGGTGATGGCGGTAATGGTGGTGGTGGTGGTGATGGTGGTGGTGGTGATGGTGGTGGTGGTGATGGTGGTGGTGGTGATGGTGGTGGCGGTGATGGTGGTGATGGTGGTGATGATGGTGGTGATGGTGATGTTGGTGATGCTAGGAGTGATGTTAATGGATTTGTTTTTTTACCTAGACGGCTGCTGCTGCTTCTTCAATTCCTCCTGTGTTTACACGTGCATCTGATGCATGGTGAGAATTCGGACTCACTCACCCACTAACCCACTCACCGACTCGCACAGACACCCACTCGCTCGCTCACCCACTCGCTCACCCCCCTACTCACCCACTCATTCACTCACTCGCACAGACACCCACTCACCCACTCACCCACCCACTCGTGCACCTGCTCACCCACTCGCCGACTCGCACAGACACTCACCCACTCACCCACTCACCCACCCACTCTCGCACCCACCCACTCACCCTTCCACCTTCTCACCCTCTCACTCACTCACCTGCTCACTCACTCACCTGCTCTCACTCACTCACCTGCTCACCCACTCACTCACCCTTCTCACTCACTCACCCACTCACTCACCCGCTCACCCACTCACTCACCCACTCACCCTTCTCACTCACCCGCTCACCCACTCACCCACCCACTCACCCACCCACTCACCCACTCACTCACCCACCCACTCACCCTTCCACCTTCTCACCCTCTCACTCACTCACCTGCTCACCCACTCACTCACCCACCCACCCACTCACCCACTCACTCACCCACCCACTCACTCACCCACCCACTCACCTGCTTACCCACTCACCCACTCACCCACCCGCCCACTCTCTCACCCACCCACTCACCCTTCTGACTCACCCTCTCCCCCACTCACTCACCTGCTCACCCACTCACTCACTCACCCTTCTCGCTCACCCACCCACTCACCCTTCTCACCCACTCACTCACCAACCTCTTATTTGTCTGCTTGAACAATGGGGTTATTATTCGTCTATTCAGTTGCAGAGTTCACACGGGGGTGACGTCACCGCCACTGTGGGGAGTGGTGGTGCAGTGGTTAGCGCACTGTGTGTGTGGGGAGCGGTGGTGCAGTGGTTAGCACACTGTGTGTGTGTGTGGGGAGTGGTGGTGCAGTGGCTAGCGCACTGTGTGTATGGGGAGTGGTGGTGCAGTGGTTAGCGCACTGTGTGTGTGTGGAGTGGTGGTGCAGTGGTTAGCACACTGTGTGAGTGGGGAGCGGTGGTGCAGTGGTTAGCACACTGTGTGTGAGTGGGGAGTGGTGGTGCAGTGGTTAGCGCACTGTGTGTGGGGAGTGGTGGTGCAGTGGTTAGCGCACTGTGTGTGAGTGGGGAGTGGTGGTGCAGTGGTTAGCGCACTGTGTGTGGGGAGTGGTGGTGCAGTGGTTAGCACACTGTGTGAGTGGGGAGCGGTGGTGCAGTGGTTAGCACACTGTGTGAGTGGGGAGCGGTGGTGCAGTGGTTAGCGCACTGTGTGTGAGTGGGGAGTGGTGGTGCAGTGGTTAGCGCACTGTGTGTGGGGAGTGGTGGTGCAGTGGTTAGCGCACTGTGTGGGTGGGGAGTGGTGGTGCAGTGGTTAGCGCACTGTGTGAGTGGGGAGCGGTGGTGCAGTGGTTAGCGCACTGTGTGAGTGGGGAGTGGTGGTGCAGTGGTTAGCGCACTGTGTGTGGGGAGTGGTGGTGCAGTGGTTAGCGCACTGTGTGTGGGGAGTGGTGGTGCAGTGGTTAGCGCACTGTGTGTGTGGGGGAGTGGTGGTGCAGTGGTTAGCGCACTGTGTATGTGAGTGGGGAGTGGTGGTGCAGTGGTTAGCGCACTGTGTGTGTGAGTGGGGAGCGGTGGTGCAGTGGTTAGCGCACTGTGTGTGTGAGTGTGGGGAGCGGTGGTGCAGTGGTTAGCGCACTGTGAGTGTGGGGAGCGGTGGTGCAGTGGTTAGCGCAGTGTGTGTAGGGAGTGGTGGTGCAGTGGTTAGCACACTGTGTGTGGGGAGTGGTGGTGCAGTGGTTAGCGCATTGTGTGTGTGTGGGGAGTGGTGGTGCAGTGGTTAGCGCACTGTGTGTGTGTGGGGAGTGGTGGTGCAGTGGTTAGCGCACTGTGTGTGTGTGTGGGGAGTGGTGGTGCAGTGGTTAGCGCACTGTGTGTGTGTGGGGAGTGGTGGTGCAGTGATTAGCACACTGTGTGTGTGTGGGGAGTGGTGGTGCAGTGGTTAGCGCACTGTGTGTGTGAGTGGGGAGCGGTGGTGCAGTGGTTAGCGCACTGTGTGTGGGGAGTGGTGGTGCAGTGGTTAGCGCACTGTGTGTGTGTGGGGAGTGGTGGTGCAGTGATTAGCGCACTGTGTGTGTGTGTGGGGGGAGTGGTGGTGGAGTGGTTAGCACACTGTGTGTGAGTGGGGAGTGGTGGTGCAGTGGTTAGCGCACTGTGAGTGGGGAGTGGTGGTGCAGTGGTTCGCGCACTTGTGTGTGAGTGGGGAGCGGTGGTGCAGTGGTTAGCACACTGTGTGTGGGGAGCGGTGGTGCAGTGGTTAGCGCACTGTGTGTGTGTGGGGAGCGGTGGTGCAGTGGTTAGCGCACTGTGTGTGTGGGGAGCGGTGGTGCAGTGGTTAGCGCACTGTGTGTGGGGAGTGGTGGTGCAGTGGTTAGCGCACTGTGTGTGGGGAGTGGTGGTGCAGTGGTTAGCGCACTGTGTGTGTGTGAGTGGGGAGTGGTGGTGCAGTGGTTAGCGCACTGTGTGTGTGTGTGGGGAGCGGTGGTGCAGTGGTTAGCGCACTGTGTGTGTGTGGGGAGTGGTGGTGCAGTGCTGCTGCTACTACTGATGACAATGCTGCTGCTGACGCTGATGATGATGCTGATGACAATGATGCTACAGATGATGATGATGCTACAGATGATGACGATGATGCTACAGATGATGATGATGCTACAGATGATGATGATGCTACAGATGATGATGCTACAGATGATGATGCTGCTGCTGATGCCCCTTGTAACCTCTGACCCCCCCACCCCACGTGGCCAGGGTCAAAGTTCAACTCCACCCCCGTGCGCCCCGTAACTCCGCCTCCAACCCAGCCTCTGTCACTCCCCAGCCCCCACGAGGGGAGGAGTGAGGGGGGTGAAGGGGTGGAGGAGGTGGTGGAGGAGGAGGTGAGGGGAGGAGGGGGAGGGGCGAGGATGGGGGAGTTGGTGCCGTTCACGGGGCTCACGCACAGTGAGTGGGGGGGGTGGGGGGGTGCACTGTACGTCGCGCACTGTACGCGGCGCGCACTGTACACACTGTACTCGCCGCACAAACTGTACACACTGCACTCTGCGCGCACTGTATGCACCGCGCACACTGTGCACACTGTACACGCTGTGTGCACCGCGCTCACACTGTACACACTGTACACGCTGTGCGCACTGCGCTCACACTGTACACACTGTACGCACTGTACACCGCATGGCCGAGTGGACGGCCATGGGTGGGTGGTTGGCTGGGTGCGCGGGTGGGATGTCTGTGTGTGTGTGTATGTATGCGAGTCACTGTGTGTGTATGTGCGTCTATGACGTCTCCTGGCCAAACCCCAATTGACGGAGCCAGGAGACTGAATCTCTACCCTCGGGGCTCCTCCAGAAACAACGAAAAGCCACTTGGTGTGGCCACGTGGAATGTTCGAACGCTCACTGCGGAGGAGAGGCTGCCACTCCTCTGTCAGGAGCTGGACCGGTACCGCCTGGATCTCTGTGGTATTCAGGAGGTCCGGTGGACCGGCTCTGGCTCCTGCCACCATGAGGGGTGGACAGTCCTCTACTCGGGGCAGCAGACTGCCAAACAACAGGGTGTGGCTCTTCTTTTGAACCAAAGAATGAAGGGGCGTGGGAGCGTGGCTGTGAGGTGTGGGAAGCTGTAAGCCCCAGGCTACTTTGGGCTCGCCTTCCCATCAACCGGAGGCGAGGAATGGAGGTTGTGGTTACTTCTGCCCCCACTGAAGACGGAGGGATGCAGGCAAAGCCGATGAGTCAGATGCCTTCTATGACTTCCTGTCACAGGTGCTGGCTAAAGTGGCCCCTCGGGATAGTCATCTTGTTGGGTGACTTCAATGCCCGAGTTGGTCATGATGCTGGCACCTGGTCTGGAGTGATTGGAGGGCATGGGCCAGATCAGCTCAATAACAGCGGTAGGAGGCTGCTAGATTTTTGTGCAGCCCATGGGCTTGTAATTACCAACACGCTGTTCCGGCATCGGCGCATCCACACAGCATCATGGATGCGTGCCGGGTCCAAGCAAGAACATCTGCTGGACTACATAGTGACGGACCAACGGATGCGAGCCCATGTCCTTGACACCAGGACCTACCGTGGAGCTGAGATCCAGAGCCCTTTGACCATCGACTAGTCATCTGTAAGATGCGCGTGCCATTCTTCCACTCCGGCGGTGGGTGTACACCCAGGACCCCATTCCAACCTAAAGTGGCTTGGTCTCAGTTATCTGATGAAAGTTGCAAGCGAGAATTTCATCATTGCTTGAGGCTGGGGTTGGCATCGTCCCCCACTCCTCCTGATGTCGAGGGTAAATGGGCGAGGTTTAGGACTGTGACTCATGTAGCTGCAATGGCTGCTTTGGGTACGCGGTCCAGACCTCCCCAGAGACCCTGGCTGACAGAGGAGGTGTTCAGGATGGTTGAGAAAAAGTGACAGGCCCACTGTCATCGGCTCCAGAATCCCACGTCAGAGAATGAGGAGGCTTACCGCAGCCTTTGCTCAGAGGTTCGTAGAGCCGTGAGGGGCTGCAAGGATGGGTGGTGGTCGCGGGTTGCTGAGGAGATGGAGTCTGCCTCAGTGGCCCGTGATCACAAATCTCTATTTAACTCCATCAAAAAAGTAACCTGCAGCGCCACACCTATTGCCATCATTAGGGGAAAAAACGGTGATCCAATCTCCGACCCCCAGGAACAGGTTTGCAGATTTGCTGAGCATTTCTTTGAGGTCCTGGGGGAGGGGAAATCCCTCAGCCAGGAAAACGTGGCACAAAGTGGGGATGACCCTGCTGAGGCTGCGGTGCCTCAAATAATGGAAGAAGTCACCCCCTGTGAGTGTCTGGCTGTGGTGCCATCTGTTGAGGAAGTACTGAAGGCGATCCGGAGTCTGAGACCAGGAAAGGCAGCGGGCAGAGATGATCTCCCAAGCGAAATGCTGAGGGAGGGTGGCGTTTGTGCACAGACTGCCCTATATGACATCATAACAACAGTCTGGACCACTGGACGGATTCCGCAGGATTGGAAGGATGCCCTGGTGGCCCCCCTCTTTAAGAAGGGGGACAGCACAGACTGTAACAACTACAGGGGCATCTCACTCCTCAGTGTGCCGGGAAAGATCCTGGCAAGGATTATTGAACATCGCCTTGCCAGGCACGCTGAGTAGAGGCTTGCGGAGCCCCAATGCGGTTTTAGGAAAGGGCGGTCCTGCACGGATGCCATATTTTCTGTCCGTCTGCTACAGCAGAGGTGTAGGGAATTCCAGCAAGACCTACATCTCTGCTTTATTAACCTGGTCAAGGCCTATGATACCATCAGTAGGCCTGGGCTCTGGGTTGTGCTTTTGGAGTACCTGACCCTTTGCTCACGATCATTAAGGACCTTCATGATGGTGAGCGGGCCCGGGTAAAACTACGTGGCCGGGAGTCAGAGCCATTCCCTGTACACCTTGGGGTGCGAAAGGGATGTCCTCTGGCTCCCACATTATTTAACATCTATTTTGACCACATAGTTCGTGAAGCCTTCAATAGCTGTACCGTGGGAATCTCCATATGGTACAGATATAATGGGAGGCAGATCGATGCCCGGGTGCAATCAAGGGATGGCTCCCTATTGCTCAACCACGTTATGTATGCCGATGATTTGGTAATAGCTGCTCATTAACAGGAGTTGGAGACGCTGCTGTTGAGACTGGAGCGTGCTCCTAAGAGATGGGGCCTTACCATCAGCCCCACCAAAACTAAGCACCTGCCTGGGTATTTTGTACCATCGGACACTCCACCCCCACAACTCCCAATCGGTGATGAGGCAGTTGTGGAGAGAGTGGAGAGTTTCTCATACCTGGGCAGTGCGCTTATCACCGGCTCCAGTTTAACAGCAGAGGTTTCACTCCGAATCAGTCGAGCGGCAATATCTTTTCATCGGTTGCGTAATGCTGTGTGGAAGCTACCTGGTCTGTCGCTCCGCACTAAGCTTCAGGTCTTCTCGGCCACGGTCATTCCCTCCCTTCTCTACGCTTGCGAAATGTGGACCCCCCTAATGGAACATCTTCGCCGGTTAGAAACATTTAGGCTGGCCTGCCTACGATCCATCCTGGGTTTAACCAGGCTGGATTGTGTGAGGAGCTCACAAATCCTTGAAAGATCTGGGCACGGTCCCATCAGTGAGCTCCTCCGACAGGCAAGGCTGCGTTGGCTGGGTCATGTAGCCCGCATGCCCAGCCACCGCATGCCCCAAACAGCTTTTGTTCGGCCGGATCGAGGGGTCTAAACGGGCGCGGCACGGGCTAGAGAAGAGATGGAGTGATGTGGTACAGGAGGACGTGGAGCTGAGTGGACTTGCCGATGACTGGTACCAGCGGTGTCAAGATCGGCCTCTGTGGAGGAGGCTCGTGAAGGACGCTACTGGGCAGTTGGAGGCAGTCGCCCTCCAATAACAACGGAGGGCCGAGGAACGACGCTCACAACAACGAGCGGAGCACCAGGTGGCTAAAGCACAGCAGGTTGGCACAGTAGGGGGCACAAGTGGTGCACCAGCCAGTCATCTCAGTCAGTCAACCCGTGGCACCTGGGTCTGCCCCGTGACCTCCTGCCAGCGGGCGTTCGACACTTCACGTGGCCTCAAGGTGCACATGGCCTGGCACAAGCGTCGTGGTGACGTCACCGCCACTTAGTGGCGAAATTGCAGTTGTTGTTGTGTGTGTCACTGTGTGTGTGTCACTGTGTGTGTGTCACTGTGTGTGTGTCACTGTGTGTGTGTGTGTGTCACTGTGTGTGTGTGTGTGTCACTGTGTGTGTGTCACTGTGTGTGTGTGTCACTGAAACATTTAGGCGATAGTGTAGCGGTTAGCGCGCTGCGCTATGAACCTGGCGACCCGGGTTCGATTCCCGCTCACGGCCAACACCAGTGACGATTATCTGAACCGGTCCCGGGCCTCCCCTAGGTCGACTCAGCCTCAAATGAGTTCCTGGTGCGGTGTGTAAACATCGCCACTAGGGAGACAAAGGCGGTCGGGCGTGGTGCTGGCCACCCACCCCCTCGTGTACCGTTCCGGCCTTCATAGGTGCTCGCTAACAGCACTTGCCCCTACAGTCTGTTAAGGCTATATGGGGGATCTTTGTTTGATCTTTGTATCTTTGTGTGTCACTGTGTGTGTGTGTCACTGTGTGTGTGTGTGTCACTGTGTGTGTGTGTGTCACTGTGTGTGTGTGTGTGTCACTGTGTGTGTCACTGTGGCTCTGGACGGGTGCGAGGGGCTGGTAACCCCTTCACCTTCAATTAATTACCACGAAACCACGAATTAAACTGAAATATGTAACAACTAAGCTTGTGCCGGAGGCCCCGGGGGGCCAGGCGTCTATGACGTCTCCTGGCCAAACCCCTATTGGCGGAGCCAGGAGATTGAATACCTACCCTCGGGGCTACTCCAGAAACAACGAAAAGCCACTACGGGTGGCCACGTGAAATGTTCGAACGCTCACTGCAGAGGAGAGGCTGCCACTCCTCTGTCGGGAGCTGGACCGGTACCGCCTGGATCTATGCGGCATTCAGGAGGTCCGGTGGACCGGCTCTGGCTCCTGCCACCATGAGGGGTGGACAGTCCTCTACTCGGGGCAGCAGACTGCCAAACAACAGGGTGTGGGTCTTCTTTTGAACAAAAGAATGAAGGGGGCGTGGGAGCGTGGCGGTGAGGTGTGGGAAGCTGTAAGCCCCAGGCTACTTTGGGCTCGCCTTCCCATCAACCGGAGGCGAGGAATGGTGGTCGTGGTTACTTATGCCCCCACCGAAGATGAACATCCGTGGAGGGATGCAGGCAAAGCCGATGAGTCAGATGCCTTCTATGACCTCCTGTCACAGGTGCTGGCTAAAGTGGCCCCTCGGGATAGAGTCATCATGTTGGGTGACTTCAATGCCCGACTTGGTCATGATACTGGCACCTGGTCTGGAGTGATTGGAGGGCATGGGCCAGATCAGC